GCTAAGAGGGGACAATGTTACCAAAATATTGAATAAAATAGCAACGAATACTTTATTGCGGTTTAAAACAGCCACAACTCGTTCAGATAGTTGTTTTTGTTTTCGGTCTTTAGTGTCTAGTACATATTATTCTCAAGCGACAATATATAAGGACAATAGGATCGGTGAGTGGAAAAACAGTACAACTTCAAAAAAAATGCTTTCATTTTTTTTGTTTTTGTTTTTTGTTATTTAAGGTCGCATCAACTTCCAGATCATTAGCGACCACTATTGCGTGTATGGTAACTGTGAGGATGACACGATATGATGATGATGATGATGATGATAGGAGGTGAAAGGACGAACACAATACAACCATGCCCGAGGCGGGACTAGAACCCGCGACCCTTCTGTCCGAGATCGACAGCACTATTGCCTTAGCGATCTCTGCCACCGGATCGGCTCCAAAAACCTTGTTTTGAGACAAAACAAAAATATTGTTTTGCGTAAAACGTGTACATTTTACAACAATCAAATGCACTGAGTGGTTGTAAGGAATGATTCCGTCTACAAGAACCTGCCGAGTAAGTTCCATTATGTGCACCTTAAAAAGCTGTTCAGGCAAAAATAAATCTTGGAGTTATACTGTTTTTCTACTCAAAATTTGTTAAACTGAAAACAAAGTAACAAATTTTAATAAGAATGCCTTTTTTATGAATTTGTACACAATATGAAAGCTTAGAACTCTAATGGTATCATTATCACTCTTGCTGATCTTCATTGCTTGTCTCCCAAGACGCTGTATTCTAGTAAAACTCCAAACGTTTCGTGACTCATATACTAGAAAACCTTTTTATACCTTTTTCTTCACTTTCATAGGAAATGGTTTCTTGAAGGAAAAATTGGAGGTAATGGTTTTCATAGGAAATGGTTTCATTTGGAGAAATTGGAGTGGCGTGAGGCTTCAGCCGTATTTACTCCTCCAATAAAATTACTAACTGAAATGTAACCTGGTGTAGAAGTTTCATAAATTAACTGATTGTAATTGGAAACTAAGGGTTCATTATTTTCTTGAACATTTGGTTTGCAAGCTTTTTTATAACAATTTGGCCACCAGCTCTTGAATTCCTTTATATCTGAATATTTCATTACTGATACTGTAAATGGTTTTAATTGGCGACTTTTTACAACCATGTGCTCATAATCTTCTGGTAAATAAATTCGATCACGTGTTCTGACTCGTTGGACATTTTCGAAGGCTCTGTCGCACAGTAGCAAGTGTCCACGAACATTAACATGATGTAGATATTTAATTATTAGATACGTAACTAACTACTGGTGATCTTTCCTAATTAAACACAACACTGATAACTCCCTCCAATATTTACATCGTAGGTCTATAGAGTCGATTACATACGAGTGTGTAGAGTCCGCTAAGAAGGGTAACATACGCTATTGGGTGGAAGAACGACATAACTCCAAGAGTTACTTCCACTCAATACTCGAATAGGTAGCCTCGCAAATGCGAACACATTATATTAATTGTGCTGTTCTCCATTTCATAAGGAAGGGCCACGTTTAAAGGTGATTTTGGCTATTTCAATTAAAAAATACCAATTTTGGAGTTGTAGGGTTTTACCACTCACAGATTCACTTATTCCAATTATGAGAACATGAATTCCGTGTCGAAATAAATGTAAGGAAAGTGTGAACTAAATGTAGTAAAAAAAATCGGGATAACTAAAAGTCAGCAGAAATATATATCTGTTCATTTTCGTCGATCACCTAAATCTGACACTGATGTTATCAAGATAATCCATCAAAACTTAAACTGTAAATGATGACAGTCATGACGGGCCAGACAAGGCAAATGCATTAAAAAATATAAAAGAGACCAAAGGAGACAGACAAAACACATTAAATAGTTGAAGAAACTGCATGCATAATTTAAGAAAGGTGGTCTCATAGTTTATCTCCCAGGAGGATAATGAATTACAGCGTAATAACGGCGCTATGAAATCTTAATAGCAGAACTCTCCGCTTAATTGCGCCGTTTTAAATGCGCACAGAAAAGGAATATGTGAAAGCAGTGTCATCAGGGAGCCAAACAAACAAAAGCCTGGAAGGTCGCATGGCGCAAGACTTACAATAACAGCTTTTCGCAAATGAAGACACACTACCAGGATGGGCAGACGAAAATCTAAAGGGAAAAAATTAAGGGAGAGACGTGGTTTATATTATTACAAGTTATACCGGAAAACAGTGAATTTCTATAGACAAATTTAGGATGCATTCTCTCAGAAACCATTAAAATGTGATAAGTGATCATGCTAATGGAATTATTTAAAATCAATAAATATTGCGTGTTGATGAAGCAATTCTGCATTCCGTCCCATGAACAGCACCCCAGCACAGTATTCTTTCGGCATAACGCGTGCGCGAGCTGCGGTGGGAGAGAGCTGTGTGGTGGAGGCAAAAGGCGGCCGACGCCAGCGCTATCTCGAAGGCAACGTGTAAAGCTCATAGTGTAGTTCTCCTGAAATGCCGGAGGTTTAAAAATGCCATTTATTCTGTAAGTTAATGGTGCTGAGTTATATAATAGATGTCAGAAATCCTGTTATTTTCCGAATAAATGAAAGATAACGAAAGTAGACCCAGTAAGGAAGAAAACGAATCGACCAACCACCGATCTTAAATCTTACAGACCCGTTGTAGGTAAAATACAAGATAAAATGTGTATACAGAGATTGCAAATGTGGCTAGAGTCTCGG